AGTCAATAATTCATAAATCGCGGGAAATTGAATTACTGAAACAAAACGAGGTATCTGCATAACTGGCGGAGGCATTGTTTTTTGGAAGCTGATTCAACATCTGGATGAGCTGAGTGATTTGTTTAGGTTTGATCAAGGGTGGTGGAGCTTCAAATCTTGATGTGTTCACACTATTTGCTATTGGATTATGTCGTTCTTTAAGACAACCATGTAATTTCCAGCATGTGTCCCTATTATGATTTCTTCGTTTATAGTAATCATAGTACCTTCTATTACCTAATCAGGATGATCCTGGGCTGTTGGATCCATTGTGAAAGTTGCCATATTGTGGACCATTGGATGAATTTTAAGTTTGTTGACTAGGTTGACCATTGACTTGGTTGACTGCTTGCTGGCCATTGGATTGCTTGGAATGATCTTGGCCATTCATCCCTTAATATAAAAGATTGTCTTTCCCTTTCTCTTGCGAGAACCCTAGTTGCAGCCCTTCACCATTTTTCTTTTCTCTTTTCTCGGCAGCAAAGGCCATAGACTCACCCAATCGTGGTGAGTCCATGGAGGCCAGACGTTGGCTTTTGTCTTAAACAACCAGTTGGTATAGACGGCGGAAGCGACATCAGTGCTGTTTTGTCCAACATATGTGTGCGAAAGGGTAGAAAATTGTCATTTAATCCAAGGAGAAAATGGATTAAACGCTCTTATTCTTTGAGTTGGTGGAATTGCTATAACGTTTATGGTGGTCCTTGTAGAAGCTCGACGATGGCGTCGAATTCATTCCAAATGACTGAGAGCCGATTGTAATAGACTATGACGATCTGATTTTGCTACTTGATCTTGGCGAGGCTTTGCTGGAGTGTGAACAGTGTGGATAGATCCAACTGTCCATACATCTCCTTAATGAATCGCTAGAGTTCCTTAGTGATTTCAGTTGGTGGTAGGCCAGCAGCAACCTCCTAGGTCATGGAGTTGTTGATCCATGAATGGACCAGATGCAACGGACCAGCATGTTGCATCTGGTCCAATGTTTCTGGAGATGAGGCTCAACCGGTGGTGTTACAGTGTCATCGATGTAGCCGTCTTTGTCTTTGGTGATGAGATCTCACCGAAAGTCGCAAGCCCACGTTGCATAGTTCTCAGCGACAATGAGAACTTGCTTTACCAGAACGAGCACTAGGCCATCTAACGGTGAGGTGTAGAGAGGATCACCAAGCTCCGACCAACGGTGATGGGCTTGCACAAGCTGGAATTGGAAAAGGTACGGGTTTAGGCCGGTTTGACCCGAAAACTCGAGTGGAAATGTGTTTGGGTTGGGCCCAGTTTGGGTATTTTGGTTGGCTTGAGTATTTGGGCCAATTGGGCCATCTTGATTGGTTTCCATATCTAGGCCTATTTGACTGGTGTGCATGTTTGGGCCGGTTTGGCTATTTGTTGAATTTGAGCCCATGTTTGGTGTGTTGGGCCATATTGGTTTTGATGTATATTTCAAGTTTTGGTTTGGATCCATTTAGGTTTTTTGTGAAAGGAACTAATCCTAGAATCTATTTTGCAAGGAAACCAATAACAGAAGACAAGGGTTGGATTAGTGAGATTGAGTGGCAAGTATAGGATCTGGCTAGGAAACCTGCTCTGATACCATGTAAGAACCTGGAATTGGAGTGGCAAGAGGAGGTAGAAGACTGTCGAAGTATGCCAAGGGAAAATATGGAGAGGCAAGAAAAGCAACTTAGTTGCTGAGATTGCCGAGAGAACAAAATGAGAACAAGACAATAGGAAGAAGAATTATGTATTTCTGAATGTGTATTCCATGTACAAGGTATCACAATTTATACAAGTGTAAATGTAACATGTAAGGAAAACAAATAAAAAGAACTAAATACAAATCAGAGTATAAAAGGTAACAGTATAAATCTAGCTAATTAGTCCATAATCAGACCAAAACAAATACACCAAGTCTGCTAAATATGACATGCATTCATATTCCAAATGTCAACATTTAAGAAGAAAACTTAGAGAAGTTAGAGAACTAGGTTAGGTTTAGTAAACTAATTCAATAGAAAAACAAAATTGATATCAATTTTAATTTTTGGCAGAAAACCGATTCGATTCGATTCGAGCAACTAGTTTTTTTGCATCGTTAAACTGGTACCCAAACCAAAAATCCAGGTTTCTGCTTACAATAACTCGAAACCAAACCGAATTATTAGGTACTCGGTCTTTCCAATTCGATTTTAGTTTGGGTACTAGTTTTTATAAACACCCCTATAGAGTATGAACCAAAATTCAAAGTTGTAACAACCGCTAGAACCAGGGGCAGATCCAGCCTACTTTTAGCCCACCCTCAATTTTTTTTTTTAAAATATTAATATATATAATTTTGAGATTTTAGCCCACCTTAACAAAAATATTAATATGCAATTAATTTTTATTTTGACCCACCCTAAAAGAAATTTCGAGATCCGCCACTGGCTAAATCAACAATTTTCAAAATTAATTCTTTTTTACCTAATAATATTCAGTAAAACTATTTATAAAAAGTTAAGATCCCAACTTTAAATCTAATCTGATGATTATTGACGTGTCAAAACTTCATTAATCTTTATTAATCGTAAAATTTTATAAAGTGATATGTTATAAGAGTGATCTTTGTACATAAATCTTTCTAAATTTTGTTTATACGTCTAACATTATTGTATGTTATACTTCACATGACTAATGAGCTGCTGACCTCAGTATACGTCGTATCACTCTAATTTTTCTTCATGTAATGCAGACTCAGCCCAAAAAAGAAAAAAAAAAAAAGTTTACAGGCACAAATACAATTTACTAAAATAGCCAATGTACAACAATACACAAACACAATGCCCTAACCTACACCCTCACATCTCCACCAATAAAAAAAAAAAGGAAGAATCAAACTGATTAAATAAAAACACATAAACAGTTAATACAGCACCTCTCAACTCATAAATGAGGCCAATTTTTAAATTGCAAATTACTTGAGTGCATCAAATTTGCACTTTGCCCATGAGGGGGCAGCCATGCCAACTACCACTCACATTTTCACTCATTCTCTCTTAGAACAACCTTCACACATCTCCTCTAACCCAAAACTAAATATCCAAATTCTTCCATCAAATATGAACTATACAAAAACCATCCTTTAATTTTTTAGACAGCATTTTACTCATTCCAATCCGATAATATTGCAAGCACATCGCCGTCTGAAGTTCGACTCTACAGCCAGTTCAAGTGGATTTTTACTTCCCCATTACAGCCCGTGGATCAGCACCTCTGCAAAATAAAAACTTTCATCTCATTCTAAGAGGTCCACGAATCAAATCGACAGAAATGACCTTAAATTAATGGGTAAATATCATCCAGAACCCTACCTCTGTGATTATCACCAGGTAAATTACTATTGAGATAATAAATACTGAGATTATGACAACCAAAACTGTGAAACAAATAAAACAATTATTCAACAAAGATTCGTGAGTTTACCTCTAAGAAGCAGTTTAGCAAATGGGGTCTGCCTCGGAGTATACAGCGGTGCAGTGGCATTTGACTCTTGAATCAGTAGCATTGATATTTGCACCATACTGTAATAGGAGTTCTAGCATGCCAATGTCTGCAGTTTCACAAGCTAGATGGAGCAGGTGCAACCATCTAGATCATCAATGGTTTGGCCTTCATTCGTACTGGCCAAGTTCGATGAGCCAGAGGAAGATCTGTCCGATGAATTCCCTGTTAAGCATCTGGAGCTGTGTTCAAGGCTTGTCTGCTGTTCAGTAGCATTGCTTTGGCAAGTGTTAAGGAAGGATTGCTTGATGCTTGCTCATACACAGCATCACATCTGCTTCACTATTAACTATGTACGGTATACAGCTTTCTTATCATTAGCACGAACACCTCCCAGATCTGTTGTGCCATAGCATGGGAATAGTGATTGCTTTTGGTTGCGAACGAAAAGCTTCTGCATACTGCAAACAAAAGAAGAATTTCAAAACTTCAACAATTAGCAGGTTGCATGTATTAAAGATCAATTACTAATAGAAACTAGGATATTCAACTACTACAAAGCAATTCTGAGGCCTGTGAAATAGATGTTTCAACTACTACAAATGCAATTCTAATGCTGTTTTAAGGGGATTAAAAAAAAAAAAAAAAAATTTATAGAATTTATGTTTAAAATATTGGGTTACCAGACTTCAGTTTCCTTTTATCACCCAGGAAACCACGCAACTTATTATATACTTTTCCTATGATGCATGGTATTAAGTATAATTTGAGCAGCCAAAGATGAACGTATTTTTGTCCATAAATAATTTAGGCTTCAATTAAATCCACTGAACCATCATTTAGCACCAAAGAGAGATTATTTTCTGCCTGAGCACACCATCTACGAGCAGGACCAGTATGACAAAACAATTATTTCTCAGAAGCAACAAATAGAGCATCATGATTATTTCCCAGAAGCAGAAATGGAATTTCAGTATAAAACCATTCTTCAATTTCTAAAGAGGTAATTAAACCTATTATGACAAAATGTTGCTTGTATTACAGAGGAACTATTTTTCAAGTACCAATGAGATGTCTAGCAAATCCTCAACGTCACACGAAAAACTAAGTGCAAATCAAAGTATTAATTATATTCTTGACTGAAGAGTGACACTAAAGCGAAAAGCAATATTGCGAAGCACAGACAATACATGTCAACCATAAAGCAAAAAGATTGTGTTGGTCAACAACAATGCAAAATGTGAGTAAAGAACATAAAAAACAACAGATGATGAATATTTTTTAGGTTATCTATAAAAATATGCGTGGAAACAATTAAATTATAAAGACCAAAGTAGATGTTAATCTGTTACACCATTCAGTCGACAAATAATTCAAAAAATGCATCAGCAGAAAAACATAAACAAGAGCAGATGATGCATTTTTTTAGGTTCTCTATATGCAAATAATGCATGGAAACAATTTAACTACAGAGACCAAAGTAGATGTTAAATCTGTTACACCTTTGCATGAATGAACTTCTCCTTCACTGATATAGAATCAGAGGGACTAGGTTTGCCCGAAAGAAGTAATTGCGGTTTATCAGACTTGTATGAGCTTCAGCAACAAGAAGGTACATGTTAGTAACCACCAGCAAAAATACCAACTTAAGATTGCAGTGGATGAAAATAATCTAATTTCAACCATTAAGAGGATTCATTACCTTGCGGGATTAAGATCAACATGGAATGCATTTCTTGATTGCAATAATTCCTCCCAGACTGAGTTTGCAAAGGCATTGCCCAGAGACTGAAATAAACTTATAACTGATGGCTCCCACACTTTCACATCAAGGGTAAGTGATCTGACCTGCAACATAGGCCAAATGCTAAGGCAACGCTTCATGGATGTGGAAGCAATATTAATATCTTTCAAGCACATTTAAGTACAGCCAATCAAAGGAATTAATAACTCACTTCCACAAAACAACAGCCTTAGTACTCTCTCTACAATCAAATTTACTTATAATAAAACTGATATTGATCAGCACCTTCAATCATTTATGCAATTTTATGGCTATTTAAACCATTGAACATTTATATATTCTTCAACAGAAAAAACAATAATGGTTAATACAGCAGGCTGTGTTTGAAAAGAAAAACACAAGCATTATCTCATCGGAAACATAGAAAAAGGTCAGGCAATAGAATAGATTTCACCTTTGATATGTGTACACCAAGATTTCGGTGAACACCAGAGCATTCAATACAAACAAGAACACCAAGATTCAAAGATGCCCAATCAGGTTCAGAGGCACCACAATCAGCACATTTATCATTTCCACAAACTCTTCGCAACACATCAATTGGCTTCTCACTCTTTACAGAAGCTCGCTGATGTAGTGAACCCCTTGAATGTCGTTCATGATGTGAAATTGCAAGGTTCCTCTCAGATGTATATTCTTCAACAGCAGCATGATCAAAGTCAGAACTTTCAAATGAACTACTCTCACTGCCAGACCGGTGATGGCCACTTCCCATGGGACTAGTAGGCAGACACTGACATATTAAACTACAATCATCAGATTGATTTTGAAAAACAATGGCCACCAATCAAGCTAAACTTCTTAATAATTACCCTCTCAGGAGTCTGAGAACTAAGTAATGAAGCAATAACCCCAGTAATCTTCTCAATCCAGTCCATCTGATCCAGTGCACTCTCTGCCTGCACTGACAAGCACAAATAAACATTATTGAGGACCTATTGCCAACCAATAAGTTAGTCCTACACCATCCCACCAGTTTTGGCAGAATTGTGTAGGAACTCAAACTCACATAAGTGAGCTGCATCTCAAGTTATACCTGCAAAGTGTAGTTCTTGGTTGGTGAAATGATCCTGAAACAGAACCTAAGATCTGATTGATCAGCATCAACTTTGATTGTTGAGGTAAGAAGATTCACTGTGTGATGAGCAACAGATTTTTCATCATGTACTCCTCCATGATAATGAGAAGAAAGCCATCGACTCAGCAATCCAGATCCAAGCTCAGAACTATTCCTCTGACCAGAAAGTTGACTGCCAGAACCCTAAAAAGGCAGAAGATAGAAAAAAAGCATGTGGTGAACTTCAAAATCTCTTAAGTCTTAACTAATTTTACAAATAAATTACTTACAGATGATTTGGTGCACTGCTTGCGATAGTAATACAGCATTCCTCGGCTATCAAGAACAAAAAATCTTCTTTTCCAATCTCCCCTCAAGTTTGAGGACCGCTTTGAGAGATAACCTTGTCGGATAGTTTGAACCTGCAAGATTACGTACATTTTGAAAAGCAGAAAGACAATTAGGAAGACAAAGAAACATCTCAATGGTAGAGTAAAAAAGTAAAAAGCATTGTTAAAACCTTTCCCTTCGCAGCAGATTGCATAACTGCCTCTATCATTTTATGTGAACTTCTACCAATGGCTTGTATACCATCTCCATTAGGAGATCCATTAGAAACATTGGAAGACAACCTACTCTCTCGGTCAATCTGCCTTTTGAACTCTTGCATCCTTTCATTAAGAGCTGCCTGCTCATAATTGGACCTTTCTCTTGACTGCTGGGCATAAGTCAACACCTGCAAGCCAACGATAGGCCCGTTATTTCAAGAATTCCCATGACATGCAAATAATAGTAATATCAGAAATGTACAGATCCCCAACTCTTCAGCTTGACTAAGTAAGCCCTATCCCCACTATATGGATAGCTATTCTACTTTATCAGATATTCAAACAAACTCAATCGTTTATTCTTCCCTTTGCCTCTGCAAATAAACTCACACATCCAAGCAAGACCAAATTTATGACCTCATCCCCTAATAAATTTTACAACCTGGGTAATATCAAAATAAAATAAACACCCACTACGTCTACGGAATACAAACCTGATTTATATATGGCTCCATCTGATGCAATAACTCATAACCCTACATGAAATTTGAAAAAGATTCAGAAAAGCCATCCTAAAACAAAAGCATTCAAAGAGAATAGATAACCATCAAGGAGAATAGATACATCACATGACATACCTGTTTGAAGTAACGAAGATGCGCATCCATTGTTCCACTGACTGCTTCCAGAAATTCAAACCTCTTCTTTGCTTCAACATTAGAAAGGGCAGTTACCTGGGTACGACAGTGAACATGATTATTAAAACCATAAAGTGACAATTACAGTAATAATAACAGAATCTGAATTTAATGTTAATTATATTAACAGCAAGAAATCGACTTACTAGGCTAAATCGAGCTTGCTCAAATGTAGTCCTTGCATGATAAAGCTCCTAAAAAACTCCAACGGAAATTAGAATTATAAAGATGGCGGTCCCAATACTATGACAAGAATATAACAGGAATGAGCACAAACTTGTGTCTCAGCATTCATATTGCATAATACCTCCTCTAAAACAGCAGCTACATCAGTTTTTGTTCCTTTTCTCAGTGACAAAAACTTTTCACGAGCCTGCAGCATAAATAAAAATTAAGACTAAATAAATATAAGAGAACACAACTCCGAAACTAAGTTCACAATGATTCAAAACATTAACTTAAAGTTAATTCAAGCAACATTTATTACATAAACAATGTTAACTATCAAGTTCATCCAAACATAGGAGCAAGACATCCAAAACCCAGTCAAATCATTAACAAAATAAGCGTACAACTTCATTGCTACATCACTATTGCATGCAATTCTTAATTCATTCATCAGCACTAAGATTATAAGGAAAACTGCAGAGAATTTGAAAATCAATAAATAGAAATGAAAAACAACATTCAGGTTTCTCATAGTTGTCACTAGGTTTTGAGAGGAAGACTCAGCTTAGTTTCTCACCGAGCATGAAATTAACCTCCTAAACAAGCCAAACAATGACAACTAGATAGTCTATTTAGACTCTGATACATTACTTCCAACTCCAAATATAATGGAAAGACTATAAATAACTTATTCATGTAAGAATAAATGTCACTCAAACTCATACTTGACTTCAACAAATTCAAAACAGTGAAAGAAGAATACCAAGCAGAAACCTGTTTTGAGTAAATTATAAAAAACATACATAAAAATGTGAAGGTTTTTTTAAATGCATGCATAAGAGATCAACATCAGTAAGAAAAACAATTAAGATGTCATGGAGAATTCACCTGGTCATACAGAAGACTAGCCTTGTCAAAACGCTTCCTCGCTTCCTGTACTGAGCTAAGATCTTTTAGATTCACAAATCAAAGAACAGAAATACAGAAATTTGAATGCAGAGACACATGAACCATCCACTGTCATATTAACTTCAAAGAAAAAAACTGGCAAAAGAAAGACAAATCTGCAGCAATTAACGTTAAAATCATGCAAGCACGAACTCAACAATATCTCACACTGACAAGACAGATTAAAGTAGTTGAAAAATAAATGCCCTATGCTAGAAGTTAAAAATAGAAACCCTTCACGAAGTCAGCAAAATGCAATTACATGCAGCTTGTGTATGAAATTATCAATATAAGAGTTTATAAAAGCTAATGAGATTCTAGCTGGCTTCATATTAAACAATGTTCTCAGGGAAAAGAAAATCTATTCAACCCAGCTGGTGGGAGATCAGAAACCCACTATTCACATGTGCACACACACACACACACAACAGGACCGTTTAACTCTAAAAGTTGTAAGAACTCAAACTGTTTGTGCTCTTGTTCCTACATAATCTTACACCTGATTAAACATGCAGGATTTTAAAATATATATTAAAATTTTAAACGCAGTAAAAATCAGCAATCTACAGTACCTTGACCTCATGTAAATCAATATTGACAAATTGTAATAATCGGTCATTTAGCATGTGCTCAACCTGAGAAAAATAAATCAAGTAGGTCAAACAAGAAAACCCATTTAGTTGATTGAAGAAAGACCCAATTAAAATATGAAAGAGAATGGCAACACATTAGGAAAATGCATTAAAAGATTTTACCTGGGATCGAAGAACTTCCTTGTATGTCCCAATTTCTCTTAGAGCAATGGTAAATTTCGTCATAACAGGACCTATATAACAAAACAAAAGTTCATCAACACCACCAAACATCCTACTCTTCAAGGTTATGAAGAGCATGCGAATTTCAATCAGACAGTAAGTTTAAATCATTGAAGCAACAAAAAAGGGAAGCATTAATGACAATCCAATATCCAGAAGGAGAATATATATCTCAAGTCATAACTAATAAACAGCTTGCTAATAGAACTTGGACAAAGCACACCTCCAAAAGCAACACTAATAGGATCATTATGCCCTCCACCAAAAGATTCTAGGGCACTCGCAAAAGCAATGTCCCCATCATATCCTTCGCCAAGACCTTCTCTGCAGAGAGAAAAATAAATGCAAATGAATTTTGTCACAAACTCAAGGATCATAAAACAGCAAAGATTGACTACAATATTGAGACAGAGAAATCAAACCACACAGAAGAAAAGTGCAGAAAGAATAATAATAATAATAATTACAAAATAAAGAAAGCACAGTGAATAACAAAAAGAAGAGAAGACAAGCAACTACTGTGAGAAGCATCGATAGGAGTATTTGCAAAATTTGAAGTATCCTACTAAAAGAAACAAATATGAGAGCCCCACTACTCTCTTTCCTTTATCTTTGAAAAATCAAAGGAAGGTGTAGTGGGGGGAAACATTAGGCTCCAAGCAGTTTGATCATGCATGCTAACCATGAAACCTCACTTGCTAAAGACACCACACCTATGTTTTTCGTATGGTTTACAATTTTCTTCAAAGAATGAATTAACAAAGCAGATATTAATAATTCATGTTGTATCACAGAAAAGTAATGCACAGTGAACAACTGGATGATGCAATTTCGTATTTTTTTTTTCTTATGAAAAAATAAGAAATGCATTCAAGAAGGTGAACATACGTGTATTTTCGACATCCTTTGTAAAATCTTAAACTTCTCTCCCTTAATGATTCAGCACTTTCCTCCAGGCCTTGTATCTGTTTCAACAAAGAAATAGTTCATAACCAATATTACTTCAGCACACATTCAAAATAAAAAAATAAATCAACATTCTTTTATGAGTAAGGACAGAACACTAGTTCAACCTTCACAATTTCCTCAATATCAAATATTAAAACAAACATAACTAACGTTCTACAGCAAAAAAGATACTTCATTCCAGTATAAACAACATTCACATATGGAAATGCATAGTAATAAAAGGATGGAAGGAAACACTTGAAAAAAATAACTAGCAGAGAAAATTAATCGTATAAATACCCATGTATTTAAACGACAAGATGGCACAAAAGCCTGAAGTTCTCGTCTCAATCTCATAAAAGTGATATAATATAATTTATCTAAGATAATCGTAATTATTTCTTGTTACAAACAAAGCAAAATTATTCAAGATTAGACATTGTATGAAAATTGAAGCTCGTGAGATAAGTAATACATTCACTATCAGATCCTTTATAAGAAAAGTAGATTATAATCCTCAGTACAAAACCCAAGTTTGGCAAGTAAAACTGACACTACTAAATTAAGCATGAAAAATACTTCAAAATCTTTTATTTATGAAGAATAAATGCTTGATATTAAACTATTCAAAAAGTTATTACAGTACGGTTTAATTCAATGGCTTGATTTTAAAATTTCCAGTTATCAACCCTAAATTCTCTCAAATTAAAGCACTTATAGATACACTGATACTGAAGCAAGTAAAATCCGCAGATTTTCAAATCGGTACAAAAAAGGCAACTTTTCCAAATTAATTGCTTAAGCTCCATAACTGAAGTACATTAAGACTAACCTGCTTGCGAAACATAGGAGAATCATCGAGCTTAGTGAAATGCATTTTCGAAACGACGTCGATTTCGGCCCTTGATTGTTAGAAACCTCAACGAACATTACAACAAAACCTCGATCATCTCAAACAAAAAAGTAGCATGAGAATAACAAGGATCTCGCTCCGATTTCGAAGTTGAAACTGGAGAAGAGACAGTTAAGTGAGGTACAGATTCGAATTTTTTATTATTTATTTTACTTTTTGTTATAATTTATTTTTATAGTTGTTGTTTTGTTTGAGAGAAAGCTAAGGAAAATAATAAACCCTAGAAGAGGCAAAAAAACATGAGAATTGATTAGTCTCGGAAATTGAGAGGTTAATGTGAAAATGTCGAAACAACATACACACTTAGAAAAAAGCGAAAAGGCAGAGCACGAACACTAGCTTTTTCTGCGTAGAGAAGAAGGCGGTGTTATTGTTTACACTTAACAGTACAAGGAATAAAGACCACGTCGTTTTGGATGTTTGAGTGGGGTTGAAACGTTGTCGTCTGGTCTGTTTTTTTTTTAATTGACAACGGAGATGACTACGCTGAGCGAGCCTGACAGTGGTTACCTTTACACCATGATGAGAAACCTGGAAGAAACGTTTGGTCGACGCGCTTCTTGACACGTGAAGGCGACAGTCGTAAGGTGGTGGCCGATTTAGAGGGGAAGGGAGTGGAGTGCGTGCGCGTGGGAGTTGGCGCTTTACTGCTGTCAAAACGTCGCCGTAGCAGTTTCCTTCTTTTGAGAGTGATATGTGGTTGTTTTCAAAAGAGAGAGCTCAGATTTACAGATAAAATAATTAAAGCAAATATGAAAGGATTTTGAGTTCTTTTTTGTTTTAATTCTTTTAATTAAAAAAAAAAAATTTAAATAACTCCGACCTTTTGTGAAAATAAGTAAGATTAATATTTTTTAGTTAAACAAAAATCAATAATAAAACTTCCTCTAAAATTGATGAAATAATAGAAATTTGTCTACCATTAAATTTAAGTTGTTTAAATAAACAATTGAAAGACAATTTCAAATAATAATAATATAAGTTATAACATTTCAAGAATAGTAAGAGATTTGTATTATGTTTTGGAAACTTCAAGAGAATTTTTGTCATTACATTAAATCTAAGGATCCAAGTCTTTAACTTTTTTTTTGTCTAACAAAAAATAACATAATTCAATTAAAATATCTTGAAAATATTAATTGATTTTATCATATTATATTTAAATAAAACAATTGGAAATTAATGATAATAAAATTAAGAGCTTTTGGTGTATTTAAGATTGTTGAATACAACAAATGTAATTTTGATTTTTCAAATAAATTTTTTTAACTTTAAATGTTGCGAGGTTTTACTTTGAACTTTTCCAATCTTTCTTTTAATGATTTCATCGTTCCTTTTAGTTCTTTTATTATTTTGTTTCCTCTAAGATTTTATTCTCAAATCTTAGCAGTAAAAGATGATAATAAGAATAAGAAGGAGAACTCGGAATCATTATGTGAAAATATTAGTAATATAATGCAAGAATTTTTAGGTAATAGTTTTCAAATATCCTTTAAAATAAAGATTACTTCTAAATTGAGTCATCCTAATTTAAATTATTTTATTTATGACTATTAAGGTTTTTTTTTTTTTTTTTTAATAATTATTGTTAGATCAAGATAAAATCTTGATATCATTAGCATAGCTAAGATATAAATGGTAGGATGGCCGCATATATACTAATAAATGTAAGCAAAATAAAATTTCTATAAAGATTCAAAAATATATATAAACGTTAAAATTGCTCCTTTTTTTCTTAATGAAAAAACTTGATTTTTAATAACTCAATCTAATACTTTAGTTTTACTTATAAACAAAACAAAATAAAAATTAATTAAACTTACAATCATAAGTCCTTATAAATTAGTAAATGAAAAACATACAATTAATACTATAAGATTACAAAAGCCACTGCCCAATTTTTTTTTTTTAAAATTTGAAAGTAATTTATTAATATATAAAATCAGTGTATTTTAGATATTGTATTGACTAATTAAAACAAATATAATGCATTACCTAACATTTTTATATAATTTATTAGGAAGCAAGGGATGCATAGTAAATATATATTTAATTTAATAATCGTTAACTGTATTAATATATAGATAGATAAAATATTAAAAAAAATTTGGTAAAAAAGGAAGCTAAACAAGAAGTGAAGAGAAAGGAGCGCGTGGGCGTGAAGATCGAACAATAAGAGATGCTTCTGTGAGCAAGAGCCAGCACTGGGAGTTGGGGGACCCAAAGAACATAAAACTTGGAACTTGTTTTGTATTTGAGTATTTCCTTGGACCAAAAAATCAACTCACTTGGATACATTAATACAACTTAAATCATTATTAATTATTTTTAAATTTCATAATTTTATGTATCATTTACATTAAATTACCAAAATTTTCTTTCCTTTTAATTATTAATCATTGTTGTAATTATCTTTTCTAAAGTAATTATTGGTGATCAATGGGTTAAAACACAATCTAATCCTATTGATTTAGTTTTAATAAAAAAACAAATCGTACACGTATAACACATTGTTTATATGTTCATTAAACATGTTTCATAAAGATTTCATTTTTAAACAAAATCATTATAATAATAAGATAATTTATTTCATAATTTTCTTAGCAGGAATAAAAATATTATTCGTTTTCTATGTGGTTATAAAGGAGAGTCACAGTGGATCTTAATTACAGTAAAGATGAAGGAACATTAATTTTCTAAAATTGACAAAATTTAATCAAAAGAATTAAGTGACAGCGAAATCTCCCATCTTTTACAAAAATATCCAACATGTGGGACCTACATACGATCCTTTTCTCTTAAATAATGTCACTTCGCCTGCTCTTCTCGTTCAACTTCAAATTTCAGAATCAAATCATCCGATAATTGTCGCGTCCGATTCAAATTAAAAATCTTCTACCATTATTATCGTAAGTCTCTTAACATTACCGGTTATCAACCAATCTTGATTTAAGAATTAATTAACATTATTTGTTATAGTTATGCCTAAAATATCATACTTACGTAAACTTACATCAGTAAGCACCAATCAGAGTTCAGGAAAGCTTTGCGCTGTCTAGGAGCTGCCACGTTACCCCAAGACAGAAAAAATACGGTTGTCATCAACCCAACAGATTCAGGTTTTGTCTATAAGTGAATGAGGACCGCACACTTGTCCAAGCCTTAGATAATTTGAGGATATTTCTTAAGTTATCAGTCAATGAGAGACAAGAAAGGACTTGCACAACACCTACTCACTTGCATATTTGTAATCATTACCTTGAATTCAGCTACTATAAATAGATGACTCCCACTCTCATTTTTGGGATTTTGATTCTGACTCTAATCTTTATTTTCATACCAAAGACAACCTACAAGAAAGAGACTGACTTGATATTCTCCCTGAATAATCAGTTATTGTACTTGTGCTCGCTATTTGCTATATGCGACCTCTTGTAAACTCTCATATATAAAAAAAACAGTGGACGTAAGAATCACTTTAAGCATTCGAACCACTTTAAAAATAATTTCTTTCATTTACAATTTGCTCTCTGCATTCAATATTATTGTTTAACTTGTCCTGACCCTTAAATTAATTATATCACGTGTAATTTCTAAGAATAGCTTAGCACTTTACACGTGCGAGTCATTGGTGCCAAAATCACCCATCAACAGTTTGGCACTAGAAGGAGGGCAAGATTTTATATCCGCTCTTCATTCAGAGTTTATGATCAACCAGCTCTATATACAAATAAATGGCTCGTGTTTTGAAAACGAGCATACTAGTACCAATAATGAGGAGATCCCCCTAGTACAGGATGTTACTTCTCCTAAAGTACATCCAGTTCCCCAAGGTACCACGACAGGCATCCCCTCAACCTCTCAGCTTGATCTGTTTGTGATGGATTATTTGGAAAGGTTTAACAATACTTTCCAAACGGTTAATCGAAGGTTATATCGTTTGGATCAGGTCATATCGTTTGTAGGTCGCTCTAAAGCATGGAAACGTTAGAAAGCTCATGCCATGCGCATTACAACGTGTAAGAATAAGGGAAAACAGGTAGCTGACAATGGGCCAAAAGGCTCGAAAAGGCCAGTGAATACTAGTCATGAAACACGTAGAATACCTGTAGCTTTGCGACTTGGCGGTATGTCACATCATGAGCCATCTCACGCCACATCGCAAGGGCACTCCCACAAGAGTGCTCGACATGAAAATTCCCATTATCACTGGAATGATGGGGAAAATACCCACCATATGCGAGTCAGTTTTGACCATCGCGGAGGTCGGGATAACTCCTTAAGCCATTTAGTGCCTTCACATGACTCCAGCCAACATGTGTCAAGGTATACCAAAGGCCCTGGCCAAGGCATGGAAAAGTTCGATCTACAGTCTTTCCTTATTCACAATAATGGGGAGCGAACCCACATTACAGAAAGTGATCCTCAAGTGGCTCCGCTTCCTCAGATTGAGGAGTTACAACGAGCCCTAGATCAGCTTAGAGCTCAGTAGAATGAGAGATGGTAGGACGTTCAGGCGTCTCCCTTTTCTCCAGCAGTTTTGATTGCTCATCTCACGTTAAGATATAGAATGCCCAATATGCAAGCATTCGATGGGAATTCTGATCCGTATGATCATCTCTATGAATTTAACGACCTCATTGAGCTTTACTATGTTTCCAACTTGGCAAAATGTCACTGTTTAACAGTGACTCTGACTACCCATGCTAAGCGCTGGTTTAGATTGCTTCCACCATGACCTATCAACTTGTGGCAGTAGATGAGTTCATTATTCTTGAGACACTTCCAGGGCAATAAGAAGTTCTCAATGCCCTTGAGCTATCTTAGCAACATACGGTAGGAGAGGAATGAATCCTTCCAATCCTATATTGATAGGTTCCACAAGGTGTTGCATAAGGTGGCTAATACACCTAAAGATTTAGTTCAAACTCTCACCATAGCTAGAGTTTGCCCGTAAACTGACCTGTGGAAGAAATTGCAATCTAAGGATGATATTTCCCTTACTTGCTTCTACAACCTCATCGAGAAATATCTCAGATAGAGAATTCAATGGCTACTTTGAATCACCACGACCCCAGTTCTTCAACCAGTGCTCCCAGTCAAAGAGAGAAAAACCGAGGAGAGATTAGTAGAAGATCTTATCGC